CATTGGGGTGCTAAGTCTGGGGTGGGGGTGAATTTTTGATGAGATGTGCACGGTATCTAAATGTTTTCCCCATGGACTGTTTAAGGGTGCAGTGGAAAAATAGTACCCACAGGGTGCAGAAATCCATTGGTACCTTGTGTGGGTGACCTAAATCCGCGTCACAAGCCACGGGAAATTGGACACTGTTTGCCTCTGGACATGATACTGCTGAAAGAAACACCGTGTGTAGCCGGGTTGGCAATTTTTTTTTCTGTGAAGCCTCAGTTAGTAAATACTTCAGGTTTTGTAGATTATCCTGTCTCTGCTTCTTCTACCCAGTTATGCCACTGAAATTTGAAAGCAAGCTGCAGATAATGTGTACATGACTGAAGATGCCTGTGTGCCGATAGATCTCTACTTAAGGAAATGAGTGGCGGGCTGGGTTTGGTCCATGGATGTAGGTTGCCAGCCCCTGGCTTACAAGTATTCTGAGTGGGAGCACATGCCTAAATCGAATCACCAAGCAATCTCACACAATCCCCAAAGGAGGAGCCTTTTATTTTAAAAGGGGAGAGCTTTAGTCTTCAAAAATGTCAGCGTCATGAGAGGCAAAGAAAAGCTGAAAAATTTTCCGGTTAAAGGAGGCTGAGTGAACCTGGCAGCCGAGTGCTGTGGGTGGTCCCATACAGGGCTGTACACGGGACGCAAGCTCTGAAGGACACCACTGGCTCGGTTCACAAGCTGAAATTTGTGTGTGTGTGTGTGCGTGTGTATAAACGTGAAGTTTTCTTGAAGCTGATAACTGTAACATGGTTATGTAAAAGGAAAATCTTTGTTTAAAGCATATACTAAAATACATATGGGTAATAGGAATGATAAAGACAATTATTTTGTACAACCATTGGTGAAGCACACGGGACAAATGTTAATCATGCAGTAAGTAGTGAATCCGAGTAATGGGTGTATGGAAATCCTCTGACTACTCTCGCAAGTTGTTTGTACCTTTGAAATTATTTGCAAATAAAGTGCCAAAAATAAAGGAAGTAGATGCATGCTTTGTATTTGGTAATGTAGGATATAGAGTTGAGATGAAATCATAAGAATCCCTGTGAACTTGCTTTGGCAGTTCTCTCACTAAAGGAAGCATCAGTTTGTCCTTTTTGCTTTGAATTATGGCTTTTAGGGAATCTGTGCATCTCTGAGGAGAGTTATAGCTGGTTTTAGTAACTTGGACCATAAAACTCTTCTGGGCTAGTCCCGAGGGAAATTTATTTCACTGTAAGTTTGCCATACCTCATAGACTGCCTAAGAATTTCAGTGTGATTCTCAAAGTTTGTATGATATGAATGGTTTGCTTTAGTATTTTTCATGCTTTTAGAATTTGGGTGGTGTATTGGGAAATCATCATTAATGTCATTTTATGTTAACTTTTTCCTTTTGATTCAAAAACCATTACGTATGATTTTGGGGGAAGTTAATTTTTTTCTTCTATAAGTGTAGATGATACTACGTGGCCCTCTTTAGCTTTGACGAGTACATATTGTCACCATCCTGTGGTGACTTTCGAGTGGAAGTGGAACTTTGCTTTTCAGCAAACTGGTGTCTGAAGGCAGAGGTCTGCAGACAGGTGTATGAAGTGGGGGGAATTAGGAATCTTTAGATTCTAATAGCAGATTTAGATACTAGTAGCAGAAATCGCCCTTAAAACATAATTCAGTCCCAGGAATCATAAAACATAGACTTTTATTGGTCCTAAATTAGGCTTGGCATGCTGTGGAGTTTCATTTGTGAAGAAGAACTTTACAGGACTAGTTTGGTAAACTAAAACAGTTTCAGTGCAATAAGTAAAATGTTTTCATAAGTCACTATCAATACATCTGTGTGACAAAGGCTGCTGTTAACATCAAATGCATGTTTATATTTTCTCAATGAAATGTCACAAAAGGCCTTAGTTTTGGTAAATGAAATGATCATTTTGATTATTATTAAAGTATATGCTTTTAAAACTTTACAAGCTACATAAATATGTATATTTGAAAATACACATATGTTATGTTAAAAAGTTAGTAAACGCGCATTCAGGGTGCAGAACATTCTTGTCTTTCTGTCTCTGCTTAACATTCTTTCAGGGATGGACATACCAGTCCCTTGGAAGGCTGCCATTCTGTTGCTTTATGTATTTAAAATGTAAGGATTTATATTTGCAAGAAGCATGCAGTTGTAATCAGTGCTTGCTTTTTCATGACCGCAGAGAACTGTACATGTGCATGTAATCACTCTTCTGCATCCTGGCCCTACAAATATTGTGAGATATGTTATTTTTATTTATTTTTGAAATTTTGGACAAGCATCCCTACTTCAGTCTTCACATAGCATGGTTTTATTCATATCCTATTGATAATACCTTGATGTAACACAGGCATTCCTGATATAAGGGATGTTTTCTAACGAATAATAACAGCAGCTAACATTTACTGAGTCCTTACTCTGTGCTGGGTAGTGTTGTAAGCACTTTACACATATTCACTCTTGCTCAAAGGGAACATGCAAATATATGCTCTTTGAACCCATTTTACAGATAGGGAAACTGAGGCACAGATGTCTCACACAACTGACCATTGATAACTCAGTAGAAGGATGATGTAAGTATAAAATACACATTGTCATCTTAGTCACTCTCTCTGGACAAACTGTACTTCGTAATGACCCATTTAAACCTAACAGAACTTAAATCGAGCGTGGTGTGTCACCTGATGTGACACCATTACTTTCCCTTGTTGTAGAGTTGATATTAGTATTTTTAATGCAACTTAGAGTTGTATTTCACACTAATATTCTTATGTTGACTCGGAGCCAGTCTAAAGGAAACAAAACTTCTTTCTTAGTCTTTAGTTTTTGCTTTTAATGTAACTGCTTGTACTGAAGCGAGGTGTACTCTGTGCTGTACTTGTCTCCTTGATGTTGAAATGTCATCACCCTTATTGTTAAATAATGTCAGCCAATCATTGCTTTTGCTCGTAATTCTGGTACCTAAAGCTTTAGTCAGCTCTCCTTCTATTGGGCCAGCGGTCATGTAAGAAGTACAACTTCTTTGCCATCATCCTAGGAATCGACAAAGTATGTTGACAAGTAAAAGATCGATGTTTACTGAGCCAAAATGATACCTTGTAGTGTGTGCACATTTCCAAATGCAAAAGTAATAAACATATAGTGAGGGTGAGAATCATAATTTTACATTTCAAGTCTATTACTTGTATCTGAGCAAAATTATTTCCTTAATTTTCGTCTGAAACTACCATGTCATCTGTGGGTTCCTTGACTGAACTGCCAGTGACCGAACCTTGAGAAGTGCTGCTGTAGTAGGTAGGAACACACACCTTGATGTTAGGTCCATGTCACGATGAACTTCCTGTTACTAGCAAGGCGCATGTATACTTTTAAATTAAACTTTGACTTTTGAGACAATTTACGTACACTCGTGAGAACCAACAGTGTTCCTGTGTTCCCTGGAGGCAGTTTCCCTTGGTGGCGCCATCTTGCAAAAATACAATGTATCGCAGTCTCGATTTTTATATCAATACAATCTCATGGTCTTACTCAGATTTCTGCAGTTTCCTTTGCATGTGAATGTATATTTGTCTATCCACATTTTTGCATGTTGTTTCATGTATCTACCACCGTAGTCAAGATATCACTACAAAGATACTTCACATTGCTCTTTTTATTTTTTTAAATCAAGAGCTCAAGGGCATGTTATTGATTTTAGAGAGAGAGGAAGGGAGAGAAGAAGAGAGAGAAACATCATTTATCGGTTGGCTCCTGTATGTGCCCCAGCCAAGTATTGAAACTGCAACCTAGGTGTGTGCTTTCGTGATCGAACCCAGCCTTTTTTTGGTGTATGGGATGGTGCCCCCACCAACCGAGGCCCCTGGCCAGGGGCTTCACCTTGACCTTTTCAGCCACACCCACTTCCCTGTGCTCTCACTCCTCTCTCATCATCAGCCCTTGACACTCACAGCTTTGTTCTCCGTTTCTAGAATTATCTTTCAAGAATGTTATATAGTTGGACCATTTCTGTGTAAAGTAACTTTGATATATAAGGATCTACATCTGTTCTTTTATTATTCATTTTGTTTCCTGTTTGGTTTTTTTGGGGGGTGTATGTCCCCCCTCTGGTTCTATTTACTTGCTTCTTGTGGGTTACTTGACAACTGTCAGAATTTCATCTTGATGGACTTACAATATTCTTGAGTGTGATATCTTCGTATGGTTTTCTCAGAGGTTGCTCTGGGTATAAACAATATACATATGTAATTAATTATAATCTCCCAGTATCAACATTTAAAAACTTGAAATGAAGTATGGAAGTGTCAATTTCGTTTAGGTCCCCTCACCTTCCCCACTTTTAAATATCATTGTGTTGAGTAGTAGATGATGTTATCATTTTTGTTCATCAGACATGATTTAGAAATCTCATAGAGCACAAGGACAGTGTGGACTCAATATTCTACTCCATTCGTTGATCTTTTCTGATGTTCTAAGAGTCCTTTTTTTAATAATTTCATATCTGTTTGAAGGGATAAAGGGCCAGCACAGTACTAAACACTGTTAAAGGCAGACACCCCACCTTTTTTTGTTATCTTTGTATATCAGTGACCAACTCAGGGCCTGATACACATATAGTAGGCTCTCATCAGCTATTATATTTGTTTCAGAATTATTTACAAGTACAGAAATGTATGTAAGAATGAAGTTTGCCTTTTCCTCTTGCGCATACAAAGGTGGCATTTTCAGTGTTTCTGAGTTTAATCTACAGAAAGACAAATCCTACTCGACTTCAATCCCTAGCACCTAACATAGTAACTAGCACACATTTAATAATCTTTCCTTGATTAAATGAATATTAGGTGTACCTTACTCATCAAAAGGTGGTGGTAGAATTAACCGGGTAGTTTGGCGAGGTATTGGCGATATTCTTAAATACTACTTGAAGTTCACGTTTTATCTTCCTTCTCTTACAGCATCAAACACTTGGCTTGTTTCAGAAACCAAAGGAGCTATTGTTCAAGGCGGATATGGCCACACCAGTGTGTATGATGAAATAACGAAGTCCATTTATGTTCATGGAGGCTATAAAGCGTTACCAGGCAACAAATATGGATTGGTAGATGATCTTTATAAATATGAAGTTAACACTAAAACTTGGTGAGTAGTTGAAGCAGAAGTATGTTGAGAGAAAATTGGCACTGTTCTATTTTACATGTGTGTAATAGTGGTGTTTATTAAATATTTTCAGTGAGACATTCTTGGCCTTTTCCCATCTTTATTTCAGCTAATGGTATTGTATTCTGTAGCAAAGGCTCAAATGAATAGATTTTTTATGGAGCCATTATTACTGAAAATGATTTACTTTAAAGTGGTTTCAGGTCCTGCAGACGTACTTATTCTGTAAGTGTTACTCGTACTTATCAGCGCTGACATTATATTTAATTCAGGCAGGAAATTTTGCTTACCAAACTTTTAGGATTGCTATTATCTGCCTTGGGATTTGTTCTTCCTTGCTCTCCTGTTTTATTGTTATTTGTAAAATTCGAAAACATTTCTTTAGTGTTAACCTCTCATTTCCTGTGAAATGCAAAGCTTGTGACATTTAGCTAGATTTTCCTTTTTTGTTATAAAAATGCTGCATGGTACATCTTGTACTGTTCTCATGCACAAATGCAAGAGTTTCCCTAGGGTATACACTTACAAATGAGGATGTTCCTATCCTCAGATTTGCTCCAGGTTGCCTAACTGCTCTTCGAGTGGCTGGTCATGCGTTCTCCACCAGCAGGGTTCCAGTGTCCCCATTTCTTCATGTTCCCACTGATGCGTGGTAGCTGTGAGGAGATTTTAGTTTTGCCAAAGCAGTGGGTGTTCTGATATCTTATTGATATTTTAATATACAAACCCCGACTACTACTGTGAATAAGCATCTTTTGTGTGTTCATTTGCCATTGTTTCTTGTTTAGTGAATTGCCCATTCATAACCGTCATGTTCTCCTGATGTTCGAAATATTGTTAGTTTTTTAAAAAGTTATAGATTAACTTGGGAAATGATTCCTTTGTTGTTTTAAGACTACACATTCTTTTAAACTTTTAGCACAAAGTTCTTTTACATTACACGAAATAGTTTTCTACCAAATTGTGATTTGTTATACCTCCTTCACTTTCAAACATATATTTTAATTCTTATCTTACTAGAAGGAAGAAAGATAGAATTTTTAAAAATGAGGACTTTGGGTGATTTTGTCAGTTTTCATTAATTCTAATAAAATGCAATATTCTTTATATTTTTATAAATAATAAAATTAATAAAACACTTTTTTGTTTTATGTAGGTTACACACTGCATTTTATTTCCAATTTTAGTATTTCTGACATCCTCTCATTGACTTTGGGCTGGGATAAAAGGCAGGACTCTGGTGTAGTGTGAGACACCGTCAGTCTGCTTCACGTGTTTTGCATGTATTGGAGATGCTGTATCACATCAAAGAGGCAAAGACAAGTGCTTCTGCATGGCAGGGTTCACGGTAGTAATACCAGGCACCGCAGTATGTGGGGAAGGAGCTTATTAAAAGTGCATGAGCAAGAGAGACATGGATAGTGTTTGAATAAAACCACAATGAGAGAGTTAGCTGTCGCTTACCACGTGAAATGAAGTTTGCTCAGATTTTACGTGATTACCTGAAAATTACCCGCAGTGAAATTCTGCATAAAATAATATAATTATCATCTTGGCAATTTTAGCACACGCACGAATAACACTGTTTACTTGTTCCTTAGGGGAATTTAATAAAATAACTTGTAAATTATTGTGAGTACTTCATCCAAATATGTTATAGATACTTATGATACTTTACTGTTTTCCTGGGGTCTGCATTTTTAAAAATTTTGTAAAATTGTCAGTGAGCACTTACATGGTATTTTTCTGTTTGTAGTCTTCTTAAAGCTTTGGTGCTGTTTGTGAATTTATTTTTCAAGTTCGTTGTTACATATGGACTATAGTGTGTATCAGCTTTATTTGCCAAGTGTTCTGTTATTTTCAAATGTTCCTGTTATGTGTCCATTGCACACACTAATTTTATATTTTTGCTACATCAGAACTGGTTTTATTTATTAGTAGATATAGTTTAGTGAATAGGCTACTTTGTTGAGATACTAGAAAATGTGAATTTGTAGGGATTCTTTTTCATTGGCGAAATGGGTTATTTGGACTATTATTTGCACTGGGAAAAAATTAGGAATTACATCTTTTGAAGACGTCGGTGCACTGCTGAGGAACTGAGAGTTTGTGGGCCAGGATCAAGGAGGGGTAGAATGCCAAGGGGAAGTGCGAGTGCCATTTTGAGCAACTTCTGTTCTTAAGACAACTATAAATCCTGAAAACTCTCCCAGAAGTGGAGTAGAGCTTTTGTCAATCACTGTAAAGGACCAACATTGGGTTTCCAAGTGTGCCAAGGACAAGGGACCTGGCTACACACTTGAAGATTTAGTCTGGCCCCTGAAGGTCTAAACCTGTTAGCAGGATAAGCTCACCTTTGAATCATCATGGTGTTGCATTGGGTTATGCTGATCTGCTCGCAGCCTAGCTAGTTGGCAGGGCAAAAGTCAGTCCTCACTTCAGGGAGATAATAATACATAGAACCTCAAATTATTTCTTCAGTATATCATGTGCAAAATTAGGTATAAAACTGAAAAAAATACTAAGGCTTAGAAAAAACAAGATATGGGAAAAAAACAGCCGTTAGAAACACATATAGGACCATGGTGTTTTTAGAAACCTTAAAATGATTGGAATTTTATGCCGAAGGACTTAAAATATAAAGTAGAAAATGTTAGCAGATGACTGGAAACTTTTACCAAAGAATCAAATGGAAATTAGAGGAATGAAAAATACATGGAATGAGTTAAGAATTTCAACTCTTAAAGTTTCAACCCTTAAAAAACTGTTAAAGTTCAACGGCTTTAACACATCCAAGGAGAGAATTAATGAAATGGTAGATAGGTCAGGGAAAACACCTACTGAAATACAGAAAGAAACCAATAAAAATTAAAAACAGAAAGAGGTATAAGGTACATGTGCAAATGGTCTGTCGTGCGTGTAACTGGAGTCCAGAGGAAGAGAGAGAAAATAACGGACCACACTGTTTGAAGCCCGAATTACCGATAATTTTCAAAAGCGACAAAAGATACTGAGTCACGAAGTGAAGAAGGGCCATGAGCTCCAAGAAGGATAAGGACAAAGAAATGAACACTTAGAAATATTGCAGTAAAATGAATGAATTCTCAAACGGGAAGGGAAGTATTTGAAAGCAGCCGGAGGTAATAAAAGGCATATTTCCTTTAAAGGATCAACAAACACTAAAGCGACACTAAGACTGACAACTGACTTCTTCACGGAAATAAATGGATCTAGAAGGCATGGTGTCTTTCAGTGATTGAAAAAAAGGACTGTCAGCCTAAAATATTGCAGCCAGTGAAATATCCTTTAAAAATGAAAACAAGAGTGAGGAGGTGGTTCTTGCCTATGCCATGTGTGTGTGTGTGTGTGTGTGTGTGTGTGTGCGCGCACGCGTGTGTGAGAGAGAGAGAGCAAGTGAGTGAGGTATATGTGTGGTGGGGGACTCACTTGTTGTTGGTGACTTCTCCCTCCCCTCCACCCTTCCCTGCCGCTGCTGCAGAGGCCGCGCCCTGTGCCCAAGGAAATGAGAGACAACGATGACAGCGAGAAGCAGAGCGACAAAGAGCAACTGAGGTTTCAGTCTGCAGCTGACACACGGCTGGTCATAATAAGCTGGGACAAAAATGCAGGGACCGCATCAAAGACAGCTTTCAGTTTTTAAGACTGATCCCATCACTCCAAGGGGTGAAGGCAGCCCGGGCCCGAATCCTAGACAAAGCCACAGTGTATATCCAGTAATGTGAAGGAAAAACCGCACACACTGGCAAGATACCAAGGACCTCCAGGGGCCGAATGCACTTCTGGAGCAGCAAGTCCATGCGCTAGAGAAGGCGAGGTCCAGAGCCCAATGGCAGACCACCCAGCCCTCCTCAGACAACAGCCTCTTACCAACCAACGCCAAGGGCAGCATCGCGTCTTCCTCGGTTGGGAGCTCAGACTCCAGCTCAGAGTGGGAGCACACGGAGCCCCAGAGCAGGAAGAAACTCTGGATGGAGGCCAGCCGAGCTCCGTGGGACAAGCCAGGAATGAGACGGTGTCCTCCATCATCTCCTCCTCTTTCAGTCCACCCTTAGAACGCTTCTTCAGAACCATCTAAGAGACTATTTTTTTTCTTTCTTTCTTTCTTTTTTGAATTTTATTTTTACATGGAAACTCTTAGACAATAGCTGTCATTCTCCTTCGCCATTTCCACTATTTTTTTAAACATTTTCCTTCAAGCATCACCTGTCCCCACCAGGAATTTTTAAACCAGAACACCCCAACTCGGCAGCCTTTCCTGAGGAGGACAGACAGCCGGCCCGACTCTGAGCACACAGTGTCCTGACCGCCCACCAGCTCCCCCAGCCCTGCCTGCGCGGCCCAGAGGACCTCCGGCCCTCCCGGCCTCCCTGCACCCCGGCCCACTCCCCTCTGTTCGGCAGGCTTGGGGGTCTGTGGACTGCTCTCCTTGAAGGAGATGACCATTCTAAGGAGTCTTCAGAATACTCCCTCTTCTTTTTAAGGATTCCCTCCCCCCCCAAAGCTATTGATTGCTCCTGTTGAAAGACCCAAATCCCTGAAGAAGTTTGTGGTATGAAGAGGTGGGGACGCGTTTTCAGCACAGAGTCTTTGGCCCGTTTCACTCCTGCTGGTCTTCGGGAGGGCTGCAGGAGGGCTGCGTCACACCCCTGGGGTATGTGAGGGGCTCGTCCACGGTGAAGGGGCAGCCGCCAGAGGTTGCTAAGGAGCGGGGACTGGGTGGGATAGAGGTTTTTATTGAGGGACACTGATGATGTTTTGATACTTACTTCCTGCTACTGAAATTTGAATGAGTGAACTGTCCTTATTGCTGCTGATGTCAGTATTGCAAAGTGACAGATTTGTAATGATGAAGTTTTTCCAGGTTTATGTCTAAGAAATAGATCCAACTGGTTTTATATGTAAGTACCAGGAGTAATTTTCCTGCACGCAACCCCTTTCTACCCTCACCCCCACCCTCTTTC